TTAGCATGAAAAACTTATAATTTCACTGCATATAATGAATCACACTGATCACTTATGGAAGAGATTAATATAAGGAATGTTTTAAAAATTGGCTCGGACTAGCTAGTCCGACTAGATCAACCGTGAACCGGTCTTATGGCCAATCCGATTCATGCTAAGAACTACTTTTGCATCAAACTGGCCAGAGCCGAACAAAAGCGCTAGTTCAACCGGAAACCATTGAACCAGTCACAATTCTCTTAAACCGTCCGGTTCAACTTTTTGCATTTTTTAATATTTAAATAAATTATTTTAAATATTAAATAATATTTATAATTTAATTTTAAGTTTAAATTGCTTAATTTTAAATTAAAAAATTTCAACCAAGCATTTCATAAAGTTTCATTACTTTACATGATGTACTACTTCTTTTATGCTCAAAAGCCGATATAATGTAAAACCATTACCAAGTAAAAGTCTCCCAAGTGATGTGGGACTAAAAAAACTAAAGCTGCCAAGTGATGTGGGACTAAAAAAACTAAAGCTGCTATGTTTTTCTTCTTAACTTTTAAATTTACAATTTAAAACGTAAACTATACATTTTAAAATAGATTTTTTAGCAATGCTGTTTTCTTATCTTGGAAGGCTAGAAACAAGAAAGTTCATGAAGGAAAGGAAGAAAGTTCGGCTTTCATCGCCTCAAATGCTGTATGTTATACAACAACATATCATAACTACAACCATTTTAACTTGGGCAACTGGGATGTCAATCAGTTGAGTAAACTGTCAAATTCTTGGCAACCCCCTCCACCCGAATGGCTTAAAGTCAATGTGGATGCTTCTCTTCTAACGAACTATAAAGCTGGAATTACTGGAGTGTTTAGAGACTGCAAAGGCTGATTTCTTTATGCTTTTGGGAGGAAATGTAATCATTGGGATATTGCGAATTTGGAGCTTCTAGCAATCAAATCTTTGAAGGAAGTAATCAAGGATTGGATGTTCAAATACAAAGGAATCATTATTGAAGGTGATAACTCAAACATCATTTCTTTTATTCAAAGAATCCAGAAAAAAGGTAATTGCTCTGATGAAGATTTTGATTTTCTTAATGAGTTTAACTTTGCTATCTTCAATTGTATAAATAGAGATAGTAACAAGTTAGGTAATTTTTGTGCTAACTTAGCTCTTTTTAATAACTTCTATTGGGATGATGTCTCTTTGAATAAGGTTCCTCCCTCATTCTATAACATTTTGAAGGAGGAATTCACTTTGTAGTTCTTTTGTTTCTTTTGCTGATTAATATAAGCTTGATTTGGCTTTTCTTAAAAAATGAAATAAAATAGATTTTTTTTAATAATATATTTATGATGTAAATAATATTTATTTTTAATTAATAATATTAAATAAATTATATTCTTCATTTATTTTTTTATGTACTATAAATATTAATTATTCATTTATTTATAATAAATGATCTAATTTAACCTCAATAATTTATAAATGTAAAACAATAATATGTATTTAATATATAAATTATAAATACGCTCCTTCTATCGGTTCATTATTTGGTCCGTTTTTCACAACCTTTAATATAAGTATTAAGTTATAGCTTCAAGTGTTGGAAGTTGCGATTGAAGAAGATATAGCATGAGGATTTCATAAGCTAGATGTTGATGAAGTGCAAGTGCTTCAATTTCATAAATTTATAATATTTATTTGTTTATGAAATTACATTAAGCGGAGAGTGAGATTAGGACACATGAGATTGAGATGAAAGAAGACAAATGGAAAAATCAAAGTTACAACTCAACATACACTAGTTATTCTGAAAAGATGAAACGTTTCACATAAATTTGATTAACTCAATCATTACAGTTATTCATGAAGAAGATGAAGCATTTCACACACTACAGGAAAAATGGCTATTACCGGCGGTTCCAACCGGCGGTTCCAACCGGCGGTTAATGGACCGCCGGTGTTACCGGCGGTTTAGTCGGCGGTTTTAAAAACAAACGACGGCCGACTAAACCGCCGGGGAACCGTCGGTAAGCTGTCGGTCAAATAACCGGCGGCGTCACGGCTGGAAAACCGCCGGTTCAAAATCCGGTTAAAACCGGCAGTCGGAGCCGCCGGAAAACCACCGGCAAGATAAACCGCCGGTGAAAGTTTCCTACGCGATTTTTTCCGGCGGCAAAAAAACCGCCGTAAAGCCGCCGGTAGTCCAAAAAACCGCCGGTTAATATAGGGTAACCGCCGGAAAAAACCGCCGGATTTCGGCGTTTTCCTGTAGTGACATGCAAATAAGAAGCTAAAAGAATCAAGATCAAATGAGAACGCAATCACCTTTACCTAAATAAATAAATATCAAATTCATACATTACCACTAATAAGGCAAATGAATAGAATGAAGTGGAAGAAAATATACTATCACTTACAAAACAACATATAATAAAGCACCTAATAAGAATAAATGGCTTTCTCTTGCCGGTTCTTGAACTAAATCTATCACTCCACATATCAATCGTAGGCCCAACTGAAGCTCATAAAAATAAAATAAGATATAAATGATCTTCATGAGAAAATGACTGGTCATTCATGTATGAAAGCAAGTTATATGAATCCATGCCCATTGAATGAAAGTAAATCATATGAATATGAGTACTCAAAATAAAAAATGTTATTTTTTTGGGTCGAGTCTTTCGTTTACACCTATACTAAACAGTACCCCTTAGCTAAAGAGTGGAAGATAAAAAAATGAAAATAACAATGATGAAAGATATATTAAGAGATGTTGATATAACATATAATTGACTGTGAAATTTTTAGATTTTTACTGACATCAATATAATTCTAAATGTCATATACTATATAAATCTTAATACATATGTTGGAATTTTAATGCTCATCATGATGTGTTATCCAATGCCTTAGATTGATGCACACATATGCAAAGTACAGGCTAAACTTCAAAGAAAAGGCTTATAAATCGATATATCATTGAATCGCCTTAAACTCAAATATGATAATTATAAGCCATTTCTTTGAATGGTCATTAAACCTAAACCCCACTGATTAAACAATTATTTGAAGTTCAATTAAAATTGTAATATTTTTTTTAATCTTTTCCACTACATCACGTTGTTCATGCTTCGAACTTGTGATTCTTGAGAATGGTGGAAACTGTTCCACTGTATCACCAACGACTTTTCTATATTGTTGAAAATTGCATATATAGAGTTTTTTTTTTTAATACAGAAATAGTTTATGCAAGACAACAAATTTTGATGCATTGTTATTAATCAGGAAAATAATCAACCTGCAATATATTCTTGTGGTGTGAAGAAATTGGGATACGAATGACCAAATGATAAAAGCACTCAGATTAATTTATAAACGTAAACAATTGAGATTAGCACAAATTTCTAAAGAATATTATATGATTTTTTAAGCAAGAAGAGTTTTCCTGCTTCAAAATTGCTTGCTTAGGAATAATCCAAACTACATGAAAAAGCATATTTAGAAAATATACCATACGTACCAAATTTTTTTAAACAAGAATAATAGAAAGAACTTTTGAAGCAACAACACAAACTACATCAGACTAAATTTATAAGCAAGAATAGATAAGCAAAATCGGAACTGAAATTCATTGTATTTAACATACAATACAGTTGAATGAGGTAAAGATTTAAAGCGTTTTGTATTTAACTTATAAAAGATGGTGATGGAGATTCGACGCGTCATTGAAATGTTGAAGAGTAGTCGAATCATTTTTTTGGGATAAGATCCTGTAAACTCAAGAGATCATGACTTTTGTTTGGTTTGGTAGTAAAAATCAAAGCAAAAATAATGCTACATATAAATTCTTGCCTTGGCCATTCAGTTGAGGCAGATAATAACATATTCCATCTCGTTCCTTAAATCTATAAATTAAAGCTTAGCGCCTATATAATGAACCTATTTGTCTACTATGACAACAATTTTCTTTTCTATGAGCTCAACTCCAAGGTGGGGAGTCAATCTAGGAAGTGTTTCTCAAATTAGTTTTTCAATATTTGAAAGAAAGCTTAATATGTTCAAAGAAATGCATTCTCCGACTTTACTTGAGACTCTCTACCATCAGGGAGTACTTTGGCAAGGAAAGGAATCTCGTACTGGTATAGCCTCTCCCATTCAGCGTTCTAAGAAATATCTCTTACCTGGAGCTGGACGGAGTAGAGAGTGCAACCCACCAAGGGAGAGGATGACTTAAGCTTCTCTTTGAGGCCTTCACTGAGACATCATCCGGGCTTCGTGTAAAGCGCCAGCTGCCGCTGTAGAGGAGAAGCTTGCCCGCTATTGGCTCCGCCACTGGATAAACTGGCAAAGGCGACGCAGGGAGGCCGCTGCGCCGGCCTGCAACGGACAAGGTTAATAGCAAATGAAATTGACGGGAGGGATGCCATCACTCTCAAAGCCACCATAATTTGGGCAAATTATTGGGTCAGGTGACCGGAGGCGAAAAATAAGTTCGGACATCCAATAAAAATTTGCCGCGTCATCTTGCGCATTTGACTGCGCTTTTGACTTACACTTTACTTGCTCTTTACCTGCGCTTTACCTGCGCTTTACTTGCGCTTTTTGACTTGCGCTTTAGTTACGCTTTAGTTGCGCTTAACCTGTGTTTTACTTGCGCTAAATTTAAAATAATATTTTATTAATATCCGGACCTATCTCTGTGTTCGGTCACCTGACCCAATAATTTGCCCATAATTTGGGAGTTAGGGGTTGAAGAATCTGTTAGAATAGGACAAATAATTTCATTACGTTTTATACCTCATCCTGTAACAGCTGTATACGTGTACACCTAGCTAGCACAGAACACCTCTATATATTATCTTATAATGTATCTGTAAAGGTTGAGAAAATTAATTCAAGATTTACTTTCTGCTTTCGGCTTTCTCGTTCTTCCCTGTTCTCTCGCATCGAGTCTTGAATTTCATCATGGTATCAGATTAAGGTTCGATCCTTCTGATTCTTCCATGGCGAATCCTGCTTCCTCTTCCTCGATCCCACACCGAAGCCACTTCAGGCGTAATCCCTCATGCTCAATCCATTTCTCCGTCCCTGAAATTTGTGATATCAAATCTCAAATTTCTTGTTCCGAACTCCTTAACTCCAGATAACTATCCTCTGTGGAGCAATCAAATTGTCAAGATTCTCAAGGCAAATGGATTTGCTATCTTTCTCGATCCTAAACCAGAGACGACAGCGACGTCGGCCAATGAAATTGCCGATCCAAATCAAGATTCTCATCAATGGTCGGTTATCGACCCAAACCTGGCTGCCGCCCTGTGCTCGACGATCTCGCCGTCGGTTCTTCCATATGTGACTCACCTCGACTCTACGAACGAAATCTGGCGCACCTTGCAAATTCGTTTCCAGTCTTCAAACAGGTCTAATGTCATTCTGCTCAAGAATGAGCTTCACAACGTGTCCATGAAAAATCTTTCCATGTCTCAGTACCTAATTGAGATCAAGAAGATCGTAGACCAAATTGCATCGGCGGGATCTACTGTGGACTCCGAAGATGTTATGATCTACATCTTGAACTGGCTTCCCCCTTCGTATCAGCCCTTTACTGCATCTATCAGCACGATGCAAACCTCTCTTACTCTCGACAATCTCTACGTCCTCCTCATCAGCGAGGAAATCCACCTTAAAACTGCCACTCTGAAGTTCCCTACCATCGAATCATTATTTTCATTTCGGAATTAAAAGAGAAGCCAAAAGGACAGGGAAGAACAAATGTTAGGGTATACTTGAAGACTTCCGACCGCCTAAAGGATAACAAGAGTCGAAGAGGATAAACTGAAGGGAAGAACTATTTTGGTATGAAATATGCGAAGGGCAGGGAGGAGAATCGGAGAGGAGGATAAATAAATGTTAGTTTAGTTGAATAGAAGCCCAACATTGAAAATCGATGAGAAGCCCGGATGTCGTCGAAGTCAGAAAGGTTGATTAAGTGAATAAACATTTAAGAAATATACCTGTGAGTAAATGCCGAGAAGAACAAACGTTCAAGAAGTTTAGGAGATGAAAATATTTAGAGAGAGAAACCTACAGGAGGAGAAGATGGTGAGCCAAGGCACCTAGGTAAGCCGAAGGGGCTGTTTGGAAACTAAGTGGGATTTAGCTTAAGTGAGATTTAATAAATTCTGTAAATTCAGATTTAGTAAATCTGAAATATGTTAAATCCTGAAAACTGTTTGGTATGCTAAATGTTAAATCATGTTAAATCCTGAGAAATTGTTTGGTAACATATTTTAGGATTTATGGCAGTTAGGCAGTTAGGAATTTAAAATTGATGTAGTATTTTGTAATCAAGTTCATTGCATAAAACATAATACAAAAAATTTGAGTTCATACAATATTAATGAAAATTTCAAAATAGAGGAAATGACAAACTAATATTAGCAAACAAGAAAGAAGAAGTCATAAGTAAGAGTAATTTTCAATTCTTTGGTTGACTTCATATACGTAGAATATTGAAAAAAAAATTTCTCAAGCCGATTGATTTCTTTGACTTACAATCTGAAATAAAGAAATGAATTAATTAATTATAAAATATAATCTATGAAAGATATATAATACAAAACAAAATTCTTACCCAAGCATTCCATAAATCAATGGAAATATTTTGTCTTATAGCTTCGCCCTGCCGTGAATTCTTTCTATTATTGATGCATGTAAATTGGGATCCTCTTCAGTTATATCAACTTCCCCACCTAGAGCATCATGCTGTATTTCAGTCTGTGACATGTTAAAGTAGAGGTCATGTCCGTGATATCGGCCAATGAAGTTATGTAAAATGGCACAAGCTATAACTATATCTGCTTGAACATTCAATAGAAACTGCCGCATTCGGGTCAAAACCTGAAAACATTCCTTCCATATCTAAAAAGTTTATTCAAACACATTGCATAACTATGTGTGCCTATGGTTTAATAATTCTTGCTCAACAGTGTATCGCCAAGAAGCACATCCATGATAATCTGCCAAGTGATATCGATATCCGCCAAATGGTGCAATCAACAATAGCTAATAGAGCTTCCATTGTTAAGTTCTCTACAGTGCCTAGTTTTTGCAAACATTCAGTCATTGTGTATGGGTTTCTTCTTACAACCGTTTCTTTAAAAGCTACAGCATTTTTGTTAGACTCCACCAACAATTTATTTAGGTTATCTAAACCTCCCTTTTTCCGTGGTCGCCTTATACTTTTGGTTGGTTCTTCACTTGATCGCTTAGAGCCAACCATTTGAAATGCAGTGTGTTCGAAAGATGGTGGCATATAGTCTGTTGCATCGGGGTGATCACTTGTTGGGATTCCTTTGAACTCGTACGCAACACCATTACTTGTAAGAAATTCATATTTGAATTGAGGGGTATCGTCCACCTCTAAACTTATTGGGTTGGATGTTATTTTATTGCATTTTGCACCGCTCCCAACAGCTATATTATCTGCACAAAATTTTTCAAAATTTTTGTATTGGTGAAATGTATGTCGATGAAATCGTAATAGCTTTGGAGTCACCTATATTTTCATTATACAACATTGATTAACATAATGTGTTGTTATACCTTTTTGTAAAATAAATAAGATTAATATTACATGTACAATTTCATCTCAAAGTTCATCATTAGCAATCAGAATGTGTAATTTCTCATCCCAACCCCAACCACTGTGATTCGTAAGTTGATAAAGCATTCGGAAGTCAGCTTTCATATTCTTGAACCCAATCATTACTGATAATTCAGTGTAAATTATACCCAATCTTCTATTCAAAACAACGATAAGATTTGACCACTACTCCGTCCTTAAGTTTCCATTACATATATTGTCGTGCATGAATTGCTCAAAGAGAAGCTCGATAAGCACGACGTTTTGTTCATTGGGCCACCTAGGGTTTCAAGATGTGCTTTTGGATTGGCCGCAGTAGATTGATATATCTTCAGCTCCACAAGGTTGAGAGTTATTACTAGCATGAGCTAAACCTTTCCCTTTTAAAAATCTCTTCATTTATATCAAATATTTAAGAAAACACTATAAGTATGTTAATTTTTTGTTGTTGCATTTGTAAATAAATTTACTGAGTATTTTCATGAGTAATACCCTTTCTCGATGATGTTAACCTATGTGAAAAAGGTCGAGAAAATTCACAAAGGATGTATGACATATTCGATATTATATGTCAGAGCGCTGCTCGACGATGTTAACCTATATGAAAAAGATTGAGAGAATCCACCAAGGATATATGACCTATTCGAGATTGTATATCAAAGCCTTTGCTTGATGATGTTAACATGTTTGGAAGATGTTGAGAGAATCCACCAATGATGTTTGACATATTCGAGGTTGTATGTTAGAGCACTGCTCGATGACGTTAACCTATATGAAAGAGGTCGAGAGAATTCACTAAGGATATATAGTCTATCCAAGGTTATATAACATAACCTTTGCTTGATGATGTTAACCTATTTAGAATAGGTCGAGAGAATCCACCAAGGATGTTTATTCTATTTGAGGTTGTATGTCAGAGTCCTGCTCGATAATGTTAACATGTGTGGAAGAGATCAAATCAAATCCCCCCCTGTGATTGATTATGCCTTGATTAGGAGGGGGCGAACGTCTCATGTATCATGAATCAAAAGTAAAGAAGGGTATATCTTTAGATCGTTACTGCTTTTTTGAAGTCGAGATTAAGACATTGACCAAGGAGTAGAAGTCCAATAAATAATTAAATAAAGCTTATAAGTGATATGAAGTATCTTTGTATTTGCTGGAATTTTTCCTGAAATATCATCTTGAAGTTGAAAGTATTTAAGGGATCTTCTTGACTACAATTGGAGTTAAAGTTGCCCCCCCTATTTGAATCTAATTTTCATGAAATTGATGCATCAATAGCTGAAGTCAAAAAGTTGAAATGTAAGACCTTTTGAAGTTGGAGCAAAAATTGCCCCCTAGTCGGGAATCAGGTTTCCACAGACGGCACCAAACTGTTATGTCCTGGAGTATTCACAGTGGTAGAGAAATATAAACAAAGATGCAGTACACACACATATAAAAAGAGAGGGTGCGTCATTCACTAGAGACACTAATATTTTTACATGAAAAACTCCTAAAAAGGAGGGAAAAATCACGGGGCCTAGCCCAATTTGAATGAATCCACTATTAATTGCAATTGAATACAAATGAGGTCCTTATTTGGGTGTAATGCCTTGGCTTGATGTAAATCTTATAGAGTACATTACATGGTGGGGATACAAAGTATCACTGTTGATGTGTTTGTTTGGTTAGAATGACTATAGTCGGTGGGCGACGTAAGTCAGAAGGCGACGAAGGTCGAAAGGAATATAGTCGGTGGGCGACGTAAGTCAGAAGGACCGTAGTCAGTAGGCTATAGAGGTCGAACGGATTGTTTTCTGATGACGAAGGCCGGAAGGATGATGTCAGGTAGAAGTATATCGATGTACATAAGTCTAGTGTTGGATAGGAGTCTGACGAATGTCCAACTTTGAACAAAAGTCTAACGATGGGTAGAAGTCTGATGGAATCTAGTATTGGGCAGAAGTTTAGTGTCCGGTAGGAAGATGTCGATGGGCGGAGGTCCGGTGTCAGGTAGAAGTCTAATGTCAATCGGTGTCCGGGCAAAAAATTAACATCAGTCGGTTGTCAGACAGAGCTCTAATGTCATTTGGAGGTCGGGTAGAATTCCATCATCACTTGGAGTTCAGAACTTGAAGTTTGGGCGAAACTTTGGCGTCACTTGAAGGTCAGGCAAAACTCTGACGCCACTTGGAGTTCAGTAGGAACTCCAGCGTCACTTGGAGGTCAGGCAAAATTCCAGCATCACTTAGAGTTCGCGTGGAACTCTGGTGTCACTTAAAGGTTGGGCAGAACTCCAATGCCACTTAGTGTTTGGGAAGAACTCTGGCGTAACTTGGAGTTCGGGCAGAATTCCAGCATCACTTGGAGTTTGAATGGAAATGCGACATCACTTGAAGGTCGTAAGTAACTCCAGCGTTACTTGGAAGTCGGACGGAACTCCGGCTTCACTTGAAAGTCGGGCGGAACTCTGGCGGTGGTTGAGGTGGAGTTTCTTCCCTCCTCTTTTTCTCTTCTCTTCTTCTTCCTCTCCTTCGGTCCCCTCTCTAGAGAAATGAGGGGTCTATTTATAGTTTTAGCATATCACGATTGAAAATTGTTTGCCAATCCAAATTGTGGTTTGAACCTTCCGAATGTGCTTCGGGCCTTTGATTTGGACCAACTTGGGCTCAAATTGAGTCGAATTTGCTGTCGTTGAGTTTGTAGTTCTGAGACATTCAGTTCGATTATATGTTTGTTGAAATTAGATTTCAGATGGATTCTGATTTAATTTTTGAAGCTTCCAACATGATTTTGCTTCGAGATTTGTTCCCGATCAACATAATTTTTTGATGATATATCAATGCTCGTTGCATGTTCATTGAAATTTGTGTTCATCTTCTAATATGTTTCAGTTATGATTCTTAATAGTGTATTTTCATTGACAGCTTCTCTTTTCATTACTACTTCAATGAATATTTTTATTGAGTGAAAGTTTAGAAGTGCACTTTGTACCACTTCAATGAATTTTTTAATCTGTCATTGATGCATATATAATTAGATATTATAGATCTTCATAGCAAAAATGGTTAAGGTTGTAATTTTTGCATTCATGGACATTTCCAAAAGCAAA